ACCTGCATGTTTGACTGTTCCCAAGCTCTGGGCTCACTGGCGGGTCCTCCATGGCCCCAGGACGGGAAGCCTATGCTCTGTCACACCCCTCTCTTCCTCGGGGTCTCTGGTGTGGGCCGTGGCCTGCGCTCACCCCTTCTCTGCTGTGGCCTCCCAGCGCAGACACCTGTTACTCAGCCTCAGTGGGTGCTGTCCAAGGTCCTACCCAGCTCTCTCTCGGGGTCACTCCTGAAGTAAATGTGGTACAGAAAAGCCTGGGAAGTGGGGCTGTAGAGGCCTCAGAAATGAGGAGTTTGGCCCAGTAGAGAGGTTGTCTGAGACCTGTGCTCAGCACCCACATCCCACCCTGCGCTTCTAACAGGTTTGCTCGTGAGCCACAGCCCCTCCTTGTGCATGAATCGAGTGTGCCCAGGACAGTGTAAATGCACCAGAAAAGAGAGCCAGAGTCCTGGGAACACTCCTTTGAATGCACAGGCTGCAGGCTCAGCCCGCATCACTCAGAAGATAAAGCAGGTCACGGCTGCTTGGTAAGAGCAGGATTTCTTGTTGCTATTTTTCTTTTTCACACATGAGAATGCGCTGTGACAGAGTTATGGATGTTTTCTGCACTAGCTTGTTTGGGGAGGCAGGTTGAGCAATTAGTAATGCAACGGAAATAAGCTGTTTTGTTGGGGTTGGGATATGGCTTGTTCCCTGACTTTCGCATGACAGGTGCAGACAGAATGGCATTGTCCACAGCGGCTGCAGCAGCGCGGGACCCGCTTGCACTTGAGGCCATGCCTCTTGTTAGCGTGGTGGGCTTGGATTACCCCCTTGAACGACTTTGTGCCTCGATTTCCCCATCTGTAGAATGGGACACATAGCAGTTCCTACCTCAGGAGGCAGATTCAAAGGCCGCAGTGATAACAATTGTTTCTGTTATTGGCAGGAGTGTACACAGCTCATTCCTGGGCCCCTTAGAACCAGGAGACCTTGGAGTTACAGGATTTCCACAGCAGGCACACTCACTGAGGTACTTAGGAGGCAGTATACATTTCTCCATGACTCTCCCCACTAGGGTCGCTCCTTTTCTTTCCAAAGATAGTCAAGTTGATCGGGGAGACTGGAGCTCTCTGGTCTTGTTAGCGTCAAGATGGCATCCCTTTGGCCAAGCCCTAGATCGCTGAGCCCAGAGACGGGGCTGAACAGTGCCAGCCCTCCCCTCCCCAATAATGGACCTTCTTCTCACCCCTGTAAACTGTTCATTCAGTGTGATGGGTAGTCAGATTTCATTAAGATAGGTAAGCCAGAACTCTGTTACTAATTTTTGTTATTGGAGTCGAACAGCAGTTTGGTACCTAACTGAAAGCAAGACTGTGGGTCAGACAGACCCGGGTTCAGATGTCAGCTCTGCTACCTAGTGGACTGGTGACCTTGATTTCTCTGTGCCTCCGTTTCCCTCTCTGTGAAATGGAGCCATAGCACAGACCTTGCAGGTTGGCCGAGAGGATTAAAGGAAACGTCTCCTAGTAGGAGCTTCTCCAAGGGGAGCTGTTCTGGCTTCAGTTGCATTTCCCGTAATTCTTTGTTCAGACTCTCACCTGTCTCAAAATGATTTGAATGGAAGCTTAGTTATTATTGCAGTTGCTTGCCCTACTTCCTGGTGCGTATTTTTAAACATTAGAGCATCCGAAAATTCAGTTTGGAGCAAGGGAAGCAGGTTAGATTATTTTGGGCACAATAATCTCCATCCTATTTGGGGTTAGTAAAAGAAATAGTAATAAACATTCATTTTCTAACATCAGGGCAGTGAGCTGCACCACACAGGAAGTTGACCACCCTTTGCAGACCAAAGTATCTTGTCCCGCCGAAGTATAATCAGTCTCCATGGTAAATTTCTTCTCAGTAGGCCAAACAATTTCACAGGATTCTGCATTCTACTTGCACTTTTTTTAAAATCCTCACCTGAGGATATTTTCCATTTATCTTCAGATAGAGTAGGAGGGAGGGAGGGAGGCAGGGAGGGAGAGACAGACAGACATCCATCAACGGGTTGCCTCCCGCATGACCCTGACCAGGGTTGCGACCGAACCACAACCAAGGTACATGCCCTTGACTGGAATTGAACCCGTGACTCTTTGGTCCATGGGCTGACGCTCTAACCGCTGAGCCAAACCAGCCAGGGCTCTCCTTGTACTTTTTAAGTGGTGTCTATGAGTGACCACTGAGAATGGTTACTGTGTGGGGTCATGTATTAGCTACGACCATGTCGATGCTGTGCAGTTATGAGCGTGGTGTGCCTGGTGGCGTACCAGAGCAGTGAGGTGTGTTTGCGGTGTGCCTGGCGTACCACAGCGGGGAGGCGTGCTCGCGGTGTGCCTGGTGGCGTACCAGAGCAGTGAGGTGTGCTCGCGGTGTGCCTGGCGTACCGCAGCGGGGAGGCGTGCTCGCAGTGTGCCTGGTGGCGTACTGCAGGGGTGAGGTGTGCTCACGGTGTGCCTGGTGGCGTACCAGAGCAGTGAGGTGTGTTTGCGGTGTGCCTGGCGTACCACAGCGGGGAGGCGTGCTCGCGGTGTGCCTGGTGGCGTACTGCAGGGGTGAGGTGTGCTCGCGGTGTGCCTGGTGGCGTACCAGAGCAGTGAGGTGTGTTTGCGGTGTGCCTGGCGTACCACAGCGGGGAGGCGTGCTCGCGGTGTGCCTGGTGGCGTACCAGAGCAGTGAGGTGTGCTCGCGGTGTGCCTGGCATACCGCAGCGGGGAGGCGGGCTCAGGGTGTGCCTGGTGGCGTACTGCAGGGGTGAGGTGTGCTCGCACCCTGGGTCGTGGGCTGGGAGGCTCTGCTCACTCTGGCTGTGTCTGCTTCCATGCCTGGGCGACAGCTCGCTATTGACTGGCCCAGGGTGGCCTTGACTGGGAATAAAGGGACAACCGGGTCCTGCAGGCTACCCTGGGAATGTACGGCAGAGGGTGAGAACACTTCCCAAGCTCTGCCGTGTTTGCTAACATCTCATTGGCCAAGGCCAGCCCGGAGGCGGGGACCAGAGTTGGAGGGGGAGGGTGCTGCAGAGCATGGCAATGGGCGAGAGGCAGAGAGGCTGAGGACCTGGGCTTTTCCACCCCCACGGCAGGCTGATAATTGCTCCTAGGGAGGTGTGGAAGGGCCTGCGTAGGTGGGGTGGGGCCAGTTGTGAAATTTCAACTAGTAAGAAGACGGAAGGAGAGGTAGTGATTAGAGCCCAGACGGCCCAGAAATCCACAGTGGGGCTCAGAGAGGGGTCACTCCACTGCATTCTGGGAAAAGGCCAAGTTAGGGCCTTAAATATATTGACCAGAGTCCTGCTTGTCTTGACCAGATAGTAATATAGACTTTTTTTTTTCTTTTTGGTGTTCAGCTCTACATGTATAGATTTGAGTGACCACCCCCTCACTATCAGGACATAGGACAGTTCCACCACCCCGGAGGGCTACCTTGTGCTGTCCTTTATGGTCACACGGTGCCCCGGCCCTGAGGCGGCGGTGCTGACCTGTTCTCTGCACTCTAGTTCTCTGTCTGAGCACGCCGTCCACAGGGAGTCACACTGAGGCACCTCTGGCTCCTTTCACTCAGCACAGTTCCTTCGAGAGTCCGCCACGCTGTGGGCTGCGTCGGTAGTTCGTGTTCCAGTAGATGAATAAATGTATGGATGTACCAGTTCGTTGATCCCTTCACAGAGACACTTGTGTTTTCTAGTTGTTGACAGTTTTGAATAGCGCCAGTACAAACATCCGTGTGCGGCTTTATTTCTCGAGAGTAAATACCTAAGAGCGGAGCGTAAGTGTCAAACACTCTCAGGCTGCTCCGGAGCGGCCGTGCCATGTACGTGCCCACAGCCGAAGGCCAGGGAGCTTCGGGTTCGCGGCACCCTCGCCAGCGCGTGGCGTTGTCCGTGTCTTATTTCAGCCGTGCTAAAGGATGCGTAGTCGGTCCATCTCATCGTGGGCATTCCCCTAGTGGCTAATGATAGTCTCATCTTTTCATGGGCTTATTTTTATTAGCTATGTTCTCTTTGGGGAAATGTCTGTTCAAGCCTTGTGCCCATTTTTAAAAGTCGGGGTGTTTGTTGTTTTACTGTTGAGCTTTGATGGTTCTCTGTATTCTGTACACAGGCCCTTCGTCAGATGGGTCATTCGCGAATAGCCTCAGCCTTTTCGTTGTCCTCAGAGGTGGCATTGCATAGCAGAACTTCTTTATTTGGCTGAAATCCAGTTTCTCAAATGTTTTGATTATCCATCAGCTCTCAGGTCTAAGAACTCTTTGCCTAAACCAAGGTCACAAAGATTTTTCTCCTAGAATTTCTTCTAAAAGTTGTATAATTTTACATTTGATCTGTGATTCATTTGGAGTTGACTTTGGTATAAGGTGTGAGGACGGGGTCAAGGCTAGACACCTCTGTGCCTGCACCCCTGCCCAGGGCCAGGTGGAGGGGGGCAGAGAGGACAGGGGGCCACGGCTCTTCTGATTGAAGAGGAAGATTCCCCCTGTGTTAGAGTCCTGTGGCCGCTCTAACAGACCACCCCAAACTTAGTGGCTTAAAACAACACGTATTTATTCTCTTAAGTTCTGGAGGGCAGAAGTCCAAAGTCACCTCACTGGACTCGTCACAGTGCCGGCGGCTCTGGGGCCGAGTCTGCTCCCTCGAAACACTCGGCTTCTGCTGGCAGCCACTGCTCTGTGCCTGACCTCACGCCTCCTCGTCCACGGACCTGCTTGATCACACTGGGCCCACAGGGATAATGCAGGATCATCTCCTCTCAGACCCTTACATTAATCACACCTGCAAAATCCTTTTTGCCAGAGAGTGTTGGGGTTGGGATGTGGATCTTTGGGGAGCCATTGTCCTCGTACCACACCCTCCCTGGGAGTTGCGGGTGCGTGAGGACCCTGCAGACTGCGGGATGAGGAGAGGGAAGAGGAGAAAAGAAACGCGATGTCCCCCACTCTTTCTGAGCATTAATTGTCCACTTTCCTGTTCTTTGAGCCAGAACCAGGGGGCTCTCCGAGAGCCCTCCCTGTCCATACCCTGCCCATGTTCAGGGGACAGGCTGCCTAGAGCCCAGGCTGGAGGACCCTAGAGGGGAAATGGTCAACTCGCTGCAGGTGAGATGGTGCGTGAAATCCTGGCATCTCCCCCACCCCCTGCCACCATTTACCTTTCTGCGTCCTCGAGTAGCTGCTTTGGGCTTTCCCTCCAGGTGTCGTAGCTGCACTTGGTGGAATGAGTGTTCTCTGTCCTACCCAGATCTGGAATCCCTTCTGCACTTGCTATGCCAAAGTGTTGTGGACTAGCTGTGCACGCAGAGAAGGGTGTGCTGTGCCAACAGGAGCTATGTCGGAGTGCATGCTAACAGGAGCGTTACTGCTAATCACGGTGGTCCGGTTTGCTGAGTACTCTCCGTCTGCCAGAATGCTCTTATTCACTTTTTATCATTCTCCCTAAGAGGGTAATTGCATGGCCCATTTTGCAGATGAAGTAAGGCTCAGAGAGGCTAATTAACTTGTTAAAGGACCCATACTTAGTGAGTGAGGGAGCCAGGATCATGGAGCCAGCTCCGTGCGACTCCGTTGGTACCACTCCATCATGCAGTTTTAGCCGCCTCTCCTACCAGGACTGCCAGCCCTCTCTCCTGAGTTCAGACCCAGGCATGTCTGTGTTTGGCTTTATCCAGTCTTCCTTTAGCCCTCTGGCCTCCCATTACCACTGCCGTCAGGCAGGGATGTGGGCCCCTAGATCCCATCACCACAACCGCCTGCCCCTCCGTCCCAGCAGCGGCGCCTCCTGCTGACTCGGTGTGTGGACCTGTGCTTCTCGCCCTCCATGGAAATGCCTGGGGCCAGGAACCCGGCCTCTCCCCCTTTTGTGCCCACTGTGGAGCATAGTGCTGGGAGGTAGGTGCTCAGAGAATGTTTATTGTTATGAGCCAAAAGCTATTTTCCACGATTTGTCGCAATAGGAAACTCCCCAGACGGGATGTTTCAGCCATTTAAGGAGATGTGGCTTGTCTGATAAATCCAGAGGGCTCGTGTTTGCAACTCTACTTTTGTTTTCTTTTGAAAATGAGTAAAAGTGTGCCCAGCTGGTATGGCTCAGTGGATTGAGTGTCGTCCCATGGACTGAGGTCCTGGTTTGATTACCCGTCAGGGCACATGCCTGGGTTGCGGGCTTGATCCCTAGTGGGAAGCGTGCAAGAGGCAGCCGATCAATGTTTCTCTGTCACATCGATGTTTCTATCTCTCCCTTCCTCTCTCTCTAAAAAAAAAATCAATAAAAACTTATTAAAAATAAATAAATAAATCTAGTAAAGATAGACCTAATCACCAGTTAGCTGAGATCCTATACGATGTGCCCTCGCAGACTCATCCCTACGCTGAACCCCCACTTCTGATTCAGCCAGGTCACCTGGTGCTCGGCCTGGTGGAAGCATTTCGTATGCAGGAGCTCATCTGACCTGCAGTTCTAAGGGAGGGCCTGTTGTCCCCACTTCATAGCGGAGGCTGAGGCCCAGAGTGCTTGCAGGACCTGACCAGGTCACACAGCGGCCAAGTGTAGAGCAGGACTTGAACTCGGGCCTAACCATAAACATGCTGTTTGAAGGCAGAGTGTCGGGAGCGTGGACTCTGGGTCCAGGCAGGTCTTGGTCCCAGGCATGTGAGCACTAGACTATCACTGCCCTTAAAAACAAAGATCAGATGCCTTGGGCGGTTTTGCTCAGTGGTTAGAGCGTTGGCCCGCGGACCTGAGAGTCCTGGGTTCAGTTCCCACTAAGGGCACATATCTCGGTTGCGGTTTGTCCTCGGTCCTGGTTGGGGTCGTGTGGGTGGTGACCACGCAATGTGTCTGTCTCGCATTGATTTTTCTCTCTCTCTCTTCCTCCCTCCCTCCTGCTCTATCTGAAGATAAATGCAAAAATGTCCTCGGGTGAGGATAAAAAATAAAAATAAAAAACAAAGGTCAGATAAGTGGCAGACTATGGTAAAGGCTTTTAGTAAGGTGTCTGGACCCATGACAGGACTCAAGATGCTGCCTGAGCCTCCAAAGGTCCTGGAAGCAAGGTACGTGCCATGAGTGACTCTTGTTCGCAGAATTTCAGAAACCCGCTTCGAGTGAGCTTAAGCTGAAAAGGAGTCCTTATTAGCTCGTGTGTTGGCTTCATTTTCAAGTAGGTTTTCTCTGTCTGGTGGGAAGACTCCCCTGGCAGCTGCAGGCCTTCCGGACACTCTAGATGCAGGTCCTGAAGAATAAACATCCTTATCTCCGACTGCAGCCAAGCCCCAGGGCAGATTCTTGTTCAGCTGTCTTTCCCAGTAGCTCCCGAGGAAATTCTAGGCAGATTCTGATGGTCTCATCTCTGAGCCAATGACTGTGACCCAGGGAACCAGCACCTTGATTAGCCAAATCCGGGGAAACGGGGAGGGGCCTTCAGCCACCTCAGCTCCTGGACGGAACATAATTGTTACAGAAGGAGGGGCATGGAACCCTGAAAGAAGAGAAGGTGGGTAGACAAACGGGTCCCTTCTGTGGGTCTGTTGGATGGCTGTCGGTAAAACTGCAACCAGCTACTGCGGCAATTTTTATGTAAGGAGCGTGTGCCACCTCCGGCCCAGCCTCCACGCCCAGAGCTGGGAGACCGGGCTTCAGGCAGCAGCCATGGGCAGCCCCTTCTCGCCGTGCTGGAGGGGACGAGGGGTGACTCCAGCAGGCCCCACCTTCCTTAGAGCTGCTTCCAGCCTGGGGACTGGGCAGTCCTACTGCACAGGACTAACCAGGACGAGGTCTTGAATGTGGGGTTGCCGTGGGTTCGACTGGGCTTGCAGAGTAGATTCCCAGGTGTCTCTGCTGCTGGAGAGTTTCTCCCGGCCGGTGGGGGGGGAGGGTAGAGACTCTTGAGGGACTGTGTCTGTTTGGAGGATAAGAAGTCTGCTTACCACGCCACAGGAGCGCTCGTGTTCTGCATCTGGGGTGTCAAAGGAAGTCAAGTGCCCTCTTGTTCCAGAGGAGGAACGGGTCCCTTGGAGGGGGCGAAGGGCAGAGGCTCTGGACTGAAGACCCAGCCCTGGCCTGTGCCATCCAAAGCCACAGGAACCGCTGTTGCTCACGTCACCGGGGGCGAAGGTCTGTCAGCAGGCTTGGCTGCTGAGGGCTGCCGTGGGGGAGAGGTCCCCAGGCCCAGATTTAGAACAGGTTTTATCATTGATCGGAACACAGGCAGGTGGGAAGGGGAAGCGTGTACACCAGCCAGGGGCCAGGAAACAGCACCGGCCACAACCTCAGACTCCCAGACAGTCCTCGACACGGGAGGGTCAGGAACGTGGACCTGGTCGCAGTCACAATGCGGCACACGTCAAACGACAGTGGAAGGGAGAGCTGATGGGGAGGGGACATGGGGCCTGTCTGGCAAAGGGCAGGGTCTGTCCTCTGTGGAGACTCTACTTCCTTTCTATCCCTGCCATTCTGAGGAGGCCCAGTCCCTCATAGGGCCCTCGAAGGAGTGTTCAGGCTGTATTCTCCCAGGCCAGTCTACGAGCGGCCTTGTTTGCTCGTGGTCATTGATCCTGTCCGACCCGGGGTCAGGGGGCTCACGGGAAATCCCATGTGTTTCACACAGCAGCCCTGGAGAGAGCTATTGCTAGGATCATCTTACTACCGTCCTCGGGTAGGAAAAGGAAGCCCGGGGGGTGAAGTGACTTCCCCTGGGCACCTTGCTGCTGAGTGGCAGTGCCCAGGTTCCAGAGGTCAAGCTCCGAACCGTGCCAGGGAATCAGCAAGAGCTCCGTGGCGCAGTACCGTGGCTCCCAAGGGAAGGGCGACATGGATCCACTCATTCATTTTGAAGTTTCAGAGCGAGGAGTTGTTAGCAGTAGCAAGAGGAAATGTATACTTGTTTGCCATCTCTGTGGCTGTAATTATTAATACCAGGAGCATGGACTTGATGTTAGAGCCTGGTCCAAGTCCTGGTTCAGTTGCTGAATAGCTGTATGAGCCTGGGCGAGTCACTGGACCTCACAGGGCCTCAGTCACCTCCCTGTAACCGGGGGTAATTGTAGTTCCTGCCTCTTGGGGTCGCTAAGAGGATGGAATGGGACTAATGCTAATGGCCAGGCGCAGGGTCGTGCTCAGGAGGTGGGAGTGTTGATCATGAAAGAGTGTTGAATTTTGTCCTGTGCTTTTTTTGTATCAACTGGCATGATTGTGTCTCGTTTCACTTTCAACAGTTTTGGGTCACTGCCCCAACCCATGAGACTGTCTCAGGTTAGATGCTGGGTGTTCCTACGTGTAGCAGGCACTTTACATGGCAGAACATGTGTTTTTAAGCATAAAAAGAAAACTGGCATTTCCCAGACTTCAGCATGAAAACTTTTATATAACCTGAGGTGGGGGGGGGGGGGGGGGAACGACACAAATTTTAAAGACAAATCCACTGAGAAGATAATTGTAAATTTTTAAAAGGAGATTTATATAATCGTGTGTCTATTTTATTCACATTAAAATACTCATAATTGAAGGGTTTTTTGTTTTGTTTTGTTTTTTAATTTTGTGCACGAAGAGCGAGCATTGTTTCTGTGGTGAGGTGGACGTCTTAACTCAGTCCAGCTTCTTGAGGCCTGTATCCCGCATCCTTCACGTGCTGACGGACGGGCGGCACATTTTGAGGCCGAGTTTCCCCAGCAGAGGTGCCGGTTTGAGCAGATGTGTGGGACCAAGAACCCTGGCCGATTTTCTCGCGTGGCACCAACAGCTGCCAGTGGCCCTTCTTGCTCTCTGGGATGCAACGAGGCAGTCGGCACATGATCGTGTTCTTCATTCTGCTATCAAGGTATATTGCATCGATCAGTTTTAGTATGTTGAGCCCGCCCTGCATTCCGGGAGTAAATCCACCTGGTCGCGGCATGTGAGCCTTTTCACCACTGCTGGATTGTGTGCTGGTGTTTGGTTGAGGATCTTCCGTCCATGTTCATCGTGGGTCTGTGGTTTTCTTTTCTTGCAGTGCCCTGTCTGGTTTGTGTGAGGGCAATGCCGGCCCATAGCACAAGCTCGGAAGTGTCCCCTGCGCTTCCATTTTTGGGGAACGTTAGTGAAGGATTGGCATTCCTTCTCTGAATGTTGGCAGAACTCACCAGCAAAGCCGTCAGGCCCAGCCTTTTCCTGGTCAGAAGGTTTTAGATTACCGATTCAATCTCCTTACGAGTTATAGGTCTGTTCAGGTTTTCTACTTCTTCAGTTGAGGTTGGTTTTGTGTTTCTAAGAATTCGTCCGGTTCGTCTCAGTTACCCAGTTTGTTGGTTTGTGTTCCTTTTGTAATCCTTCTGATTTCCGTGGAATCAGGTGTAATGTGTCCCCATTCTCATTGCTGATTTTAGTCATTTGAGTCTTTTCTCTCTTTCTTAGTTCATCCAGCTAAAGGTTTGTCAGTTTTGTTGATATTTCAGAATACCAACTTTTGGTTTCATTAATTTTCTCTATTGCTTCTTCGTTCTCTATTCTATCACTTTTAATCGTTAGTATTTCCTTCCTTCTGCTAACTTTGGGTTTCATTTGTTCTCCTTTTTCTAGTTGCTGAAGTTGTAAAGTTAGAGGGTTGTTTTTAGGTCTTTCTAGTTTTCTGATGTAAGCATTTACAGCACTGGAGCCCCCACCACCACCACCTTCACTGCCGCCCAGACGTTTTGGTACGTTGGTTACTATTTTCATTTGCCTCCAAGAATTTTCTAATTTCCCTGAGATTTCCTCTTTGATTTGTTGGTTAAGAGTGTGTTATTTAACATCCGTAACAGTTTGTGAATTTTACAGTTTATTATTGGTTCTAATTTCATCCCGCTGTAGTCAGAGGTGCTTTGTACGGTGTTTATCTTTTTAAATCTGTTGAGACTTAACTTGTGTCCTAACCTCTGGTCTGCCCTGGAGAATGGTCATGGGCACCCGAGAAGCGGTTACTGGGTCGAGTGTTCTGTATGTGCCTGTTAGAGTCCGTGTACCTTCCGTCTGGTGGCTCTGTGCACTCCTGAGAGAGGGCAGTGGGCGTCTCCAGCTGCTCCCGGGGAACTGATGGCCTGTTTCCCCCCTCAGCTGTCAGTTTTCACGTCATAGATTTTAGTCTGTGACTAGGCGGGTAAATGTTTATATTGTTATTTCTTCTTGCTGTATTGAATGTTGCGTTGATGTACAACATCCTTATCTCTTGTAGCCTTTCATTTAAAATCTATTTCGCCTGAGATTAGCACAGCCATGTCAAGGGTGCGAGGGCGAAAGGAGTCTTACCATCACCCCTGTGTTGAGATTCATGCCTTTATTTAAAGAAACACTTGTTGAACCTCGTCTGCTCCTTCCTGGCCACTGTGCTAGGCTTTAGGAAGACAAACCAATAGTCCCTGTCTTCAGGGAGCCTCTAGGTCAGCCTGAGGGCTCGATATGAGGGCAGGAGGCGTAGTCAGTGCAGGGGTCTGCCTTCAGCGCCTCACTCCCCTGAGGGGTTATGGGGCGGCCCCTTGGCATTGCCACCATTAGAGTGAGCCGTGACCCCCAACCCCTGGGGAGGGTATCAGCTATGCCCGTAGGTGTCACAAGGGTCCCCTGCAGGCTGCTCTAAGACAGGACACTGGAGCCTGGCCTGGGGTCAGGGAGCCTTTGCTGAATGGGGAGGAGCGTGGGTGGTAGAAGGTGAAGTCAGGGTCCAGGCGGGGCCTCGGGGGTCATGACGAGGCCTTCAGATCCCAGCCTGAGGCGCAGGGGCAGCCCTGGGAACAGCTCTCTCTCCTCCGGGCTTGTGGGCTCCTGCTTGGCTTCCTCGTCAGACACAGCACTGCCCTGCCCAGGGGAGCAGAGAGGGCGTCCTAGGCAGCAAGGTCATGCAGGCCGGGCCCCCAGCCTCAGCAGGACTCGGGCACCTGTCACGGGCTCAGAGTCTGGCTCTAGACAAC